GCACGCACCCACGCACGCACGCACCCGCGCACCCACGCACGCACGCACATGCATGCATTGAGCAGAGCTTGGCACGTTTAGGCCTTGGTGCAGCTCGAAGGGGCTTGGGGTCTTAGGTCCGGGGATCAGTTTCACAGTGCGTGGGGGTTGGGGCCAGGAGCTGGTGAAAACCAAGCGTGGCATCTATCGCCCTGAGAGTGGCGTGGTGAGGCGAGTTGGGGGTTTCTTGCTTCCAGGCTATTCGTAAGCAGGATGCTGCGGTCTAGAGTATTCTATTTATTGAAGCTTCCGTGGCGTGGGGCTGCACTTTGCCTTGTCACCATCACGTGGAAACTCTGAGTACGGTTGGGTCAGACCTCTTCTCACAATCCTGCAAGTCATGCATGTCTTGGGCCGTTGTTCTGTTTGGGGGTGGTCAGGGTGAGGGCTCATCCTTGCTTTATTCTCGAGCTCTTCTCCTGTGCACGCCTCTCGAGCTCTAAACAACTCTGGTGTTCCACTTCGTTCGACTTTCATTCATGCGCAGAAACTGCAGTAGAAATTGTGGGGATCGGGGGCTTGCTGTGGTCGCCGGGGGTCATGCAAGTGTACTCTCGGCGTGAGAGCATCTCTGCACATGGTCACGTTGTCACAGTTTCCGCCCTGTGTCCCCGAGCACGGCAAGCTTGCTGGGCAGTGCCTTCGTTCTTGGCACTTGTCTCTAAAGCTCTTTTCAGGGTCCACTTCCAACATCAAAAATGAAGTAATTCTATAGAATATGCGTCAATGCGTACACTATACGATACTCTACTGTAGGATGCTGAAAGTCTACTATGAGAGCCCCTGGCCCTGGCGAGGTACAGTGCCCAGGATTGGGTGAAGTTCCGAGCAGATGGTGAGGAGCTGCTCTACATCATGAGAAACCAAAAACCGGCCAACTGCAGAGTGCGGGGCTCAGTTTGTTATTGATTTATGATCCAAGAGGGAGATATGACCTTGTTATTCCGAATTCTCCTTCAAACTCACTAAGATTCGCGTCGGTGTAAGCTTCCCTTGGGATCCTATAAGTTTTAGTGGACTGCGGAGTCAACTGCGGAGGTGTTACGCCTGAAACCCTCAGCCCTGAACCCCTGAACATTATAAATCTTGAGCCCCAAGCCCCCCAAGCTTCAACCTTTGAAGCCTAATCCATAGGGCTCCAGCTACCTTAATAGCAGGTTTCAACGTCTTGTTTTTGTGTGTTTGGTTTTTGTGGGCTTTGGGTTTTCAGGGCTTTTAAACCCGACACGCGAAAATTCCTAGGCCGTGCGCCCTGGAGAGTCGGCCCTGGACCCCCCAAAACATTCCTGAACCCTATCTTCCGAACTCCTTGGGAACGGAGCCCAAGACTTAGGATTTGGGGTTTAGGGTCTAGGGTTTAGGGTTTAGGGTTTGGTGCTTAAATGTTGGGCCAAACCTTAAACTCCTGAACCCCGAAACACAAAAATCCAAACCCCAAAGCCCGAACCGGCCCTTTTCTCGAGGAGTGGTCCCTGGCCATGCTACAGAAGGCGTACCGTTCTTCGTGTCGGCGACATGGCTCGTGGGACCGAATGAATTTATGTCTGCCGCTCTCTGGCAAATGGGGCCTTATCTGGCTGTTTATGGGGGTTTTATATGGCTTCATGTGGCTTCCGTAAGGCTTTTATGGCTTGGATAGGGCTTTATATGGCTTTTATGGGGCTTATATGGCTGTTATAGGGTTTAAAGACGAGTGTATAGGGTTGTGTTTTATGGGTTCATGAGGCGTTTGCGAGGCTTTCAGAAGTAAGTCGTGCGTTTCATGAACCCCAGCCCAGGCATGACTTTCTGTCTTTGTTCCCAAGAACCTTCGAGCTCTTCGGAGCTCAAGAGCAGCTGGTGCGGCCCTTTCGGAGCTCGGTCTCCAGCGTGGCCGACGGCGAGGAGGAGGTCATGAAGCGCCTGGCCATGGCACCTTGGAGCCCAGTTATTTCGGGTTGGGGGGGCTATGAAGGCCCTAAACCCTAAACCCTAAACCCTAAACCCTAAACCCTAAAGGTCTCCTTCTCTCTCTCCCCGTCTCGCTCCTGACCTCCCCCAAGGCGAAGCAGGTGGGGGTCGTCCAGGCCCACACTCCTGTCGGCGGAGGCAATCCAAGGCCAGCTTCGGAGCCTGAAGAAAGACTTGCACTCGTCCCTGAGCCTCCATAGACATACCACAGGTGCGTCTGTGTGTGTATATATATATACATACCTACATAGGTATGTATATATATATATACATACACATACATACATACATGGGCGTCGTGCATACCTCCGGGAAACATGTAAAGATCGACAGGCGGAAACTTCTCACAAAGCCTTTCGCAGTTTTCAGTCTCCGCTTGCATAGACCTGGTGCCGGCTCGGAGCCCGTAGGTTTCGATTTTCCGAAAGAGAGAGCTCAGTATGGTTTAGGGTTCGAGTAACCCTGAAACCGCAAACCCTAAACCCTAGATTCGTTCAGGGTTGAGAGGATTTCATACTAGCAGTTCAGGCGATTCGGTGCCTCGAGAGCTGGCAGCCACAATGCCCTAGGACCCCCAAAACCCTATTCTAGTCGAAGTCTTAGGGGTTAGGGTTTAGGGGGGCCCCTATGTACGTCGAACCCCGAACTCCTCAATCGCTGTTTTCCATTTCCTTTGTCCTACACTCTTTGGCGGCCAAAATCTCAACCTAAGCCCTAAACCCTAGACCCTTTCAGTTTCGCCTTTGGCGGGTGCTGCGTCGCAGAAAGGGGCCCCATGGCATGTTTTAAAGAAAAAGGGCCCAAGACCCTAAACCCTTAGCTCTAAACCCTAAACCCTAAACCCTGGAGCCCTAAACCCGGAGTAATCGTTTTCTGTTTTCACAAGGCCGGGTCGAAGCACAGGCCTCCCAGCCTGACAGCACCCTGGGAATTAGATCAGAAGCAGAAGCCACAGGGGACCCATATGGAATTAGGTCCCGCGAGATCATACCTATGATGGTTTTTCCTGGGACCTACTTCCATAATAGTCGTATATATGATCCAGGTTCGGCCGTCCCCCCCTCCCTCCCCCCCCAATGGTTGGTAGCC